CCCAGCCCATGGCCACCCTGGCAATAATTGCATGTTGCTTAAGTATCGCTAACTTTCCCCGTGATAATGAAATAAAGGTCAGGCATCTGACATCTTGATTTAAATTTCATTCTCAACATTTATCAATTCACTACATATTACATTCATTTTCGTCAGGATTATTACACTCGAGGACAAACTCTACCAGAAATTGACAACAATCAGGATTACCAACTGGTGTATGCATCAGAAATAGGTGGATATACAGAGCTGATGTTTCAGAGACCACGTGATACCAGTGATGACACTGACATACAGTTTGCGGTAAGGTTAAATCTTTATGTCTTGGAGGCTCTAGTTCAGTATTTGAGACGTAACAAACAGAGCGGGCTCTACGACCGAGCTATCGTGAATATCCTGGGGGAATCCGCTCCCATATAAAAAGGACGAGGGGTGCTCTTCGTGCCTTTCAGGGGTGAAAAGAAAACGGTTTTAGTACCTCTTAAGTATGACAGGGGATATTTGACAAACAGCTAATTTGTGACAGTTTTATGCTTTCATAACCTTTACGAGTAAACGTTATTCGAAGCAATCGCCTTTATCGCTATTTGAAATTATGAGAGTGTCAGTTAATGTGTTGAATTGTTGAATCTCTCTGAGGGGTGAAAACACTTTCGAGCCACGCCCACAAAACAGGACCTTGGTACCTCTTAGGGGTTCTTTTCAAAATTTCCGATGAGCACCCCCGTCCTCTTTATTTAGGAGTCCTCCCTGGAGTAAATATATCACTACTGATTCCTTTGATCCATACGGAGAATTGACTAATTAAATAAATGAAAAGAAAGAAATTGAGAAATGCCTAATTGAAGGTTTACCCAACCGAGCGGTAACTGCGAATGGCCAACTACGAATTTGCGTACGGTAAAGTATTGTATCCTTTTCATTTGTGCGTCATGAAAGCACAACTGATTTTTTTCTCTTTCTGTTAACAGGTCGAAGAAGAGAAGTACATAATCTGGGCCTACGGTAGTGATGACACCAGGAGCCCTAATGACTTTGATCGACATGCTGCAAGGGGCGTTGGTGACATGCAGCTTGTTATAGTTGACAAACCTCCTATCCCTACCAAGGCCGCCGCAGTATCCTTGCTGCATTCATGCATTAATACAATCTTAATTGCAGCCGCAATAGTATTCTTAAATGTTTTGGTGATGTAAAATGTTGGTAAAAAAAGAATTAATTAAATTTCCACCGTTTTTTACAAGACACGGGAAGCCTTGTCGTAATGTAAGATAAAAGAAAGGTCGGCTGACTCCTTAGCAAAACCTTGATTGCTCAAGGCACCCATTAAGACCACAGCCTGACCAGCTAAATTAGTCATGTAGTAAATTATCCTAAACAGAGTCTTTTGTAATAAGACGTCGTTTAGAAACGAATAGTAGAGGAGGAAGATACCAAAGGTGTGGCCTTTTTTCTCTTTGTAATTTTATTTTATTTTTTTACCATTTTCCATTTTCTGATTAATATCATATTTTTGTTGTTGGTTATGTATTGACGACTCGTGAGCATTTTGTTTAAATAAAGAAGTTATAACAGTGGTGTCTGACTTACATATTTTCATCACTTTTAAATAAGTCATTTCCGTGTTGCTTTTCACCTCTGTTTCAAAACGAGTTCAGTTCTGGTGCACAACCTTCACATGAAAATGAGTTGGATTTTGCAAGACAATGAACGGGCAAGAAAATCTCATTTCCATATAAAAGGTTGTGCACCAAGACTCCTTTTGAGTCTTTTGAAATAGAGGTAAAGGCAAATCAGAAATGGCTAATTACCAAACCTCATTCTCGTCCCCATAGCCCTCTTCGATTCTCTTAGCCAGCGCGGCCACAAAGGGCTCTGCGGACATAGGATTTTCGAATTGATTCGAATTTTTTTGATTGGCTGTTTGAAAACAAAGAAATCTTGAACGGAAGTTAAAATGTTCGCGCGGATTGCAGTCGCGAAAATATGAAACAGCTGTGGTCAGCTATGTTTAAAATGAAGGACCATTAGACAGCTGACCTGCAATTCGTTTATCTTCACGGTCTGGTCTCGCATCAAGGCATTTAAAAGTGAAACAACGAAAAGAAACGATTCAGTTGCTCTATGCCACGAGTCAAAGAAAAAGGGCAATAACTGGAAAATCAATGACTGTCGGTAAAAAACAAAATTAAATAGTCTCTTTCTTTAAAATCACAATGTTCCTTATCGCCTCTATCTGTTTCACTCTGACGAAAACATTCTCCAAATTGATACCACTTAAGGTCTGAGATAAAGATTTCTCGAATCCTGCCTCGACGGCCGCCATTGACATTCTCCGAAACATTACGACTGCATACATAAAGAACGGAAGTCCAAAAATCTAGGACTGGGAAATCCTTTGTCTCCAGCCCTCGTTTCTCGCGCCAAGGCCGCGCCGGCTAAGAGAAGCGAACAGGGCTATAGGAACGGGAATGAACAAATCTTTAAATACCTCGTTCCCAGGCTAAGCCCTGTTCACGTCTGTTATTTGGAGCTCAAAAGAGCTTGAACCCTACTTGCTTAAGCTGATACAACAAACCACCCATTCAATTTAAGTTTAGGAACACGGACCTTATTCACGCAAAGTATAATCCACAACGCAACGAACTCTATGGTCAGCTCTGCTCTTGCAGCGTTAGCAATAACCTCAAACAGTAAATTTACTTTCCAGTGGTATCCATGGAAAATCATCATGTCTCAGCTCAATCCGTGTTAATATGCTTCGGAGCATTTCGGAGCTAGTATGTTCTGAAGTTTCCGATTTCCTGTACCTTTTTGAATGTCTATGCGAGGCTTACTGCTTTTTCAGATTGGTAAAATTTCCACTCAGATCTGTTGTTAGTTTATCGGCTGCAGTCGAACAGTAACTGGAACTCTAAAAAGGGAGTCATCTTATTTCCCAGCCAAACCCTTGAGAGTGGGTCATTATACATATTTTGATACCTTTTGGCTGGTTTTAATAAGAGTAACGCGTTGTGTTAGGTTCTTTCTTTATTAGCGTACCCCCGGTGATTTCTCTTAGAATCGAACCTTCAATCAAAGATTATAACTAATGCATATTTGTTACGTCACTTACGTCCGTCGAATTCAACCCGACCCAGGTTCCACACTAGACAACGGTAGCCCACAACAAGCTCACATGGTTTAAGGGCCTCTTTCACGATAATGCGCCTGTACGACTTTGAAAGACACTTGAGGGTCCATTAGAAGGTTTTTAACCAATAGAAATTGAACGGCTTGGTACCAGGCGCCACCCAGAATAATCAGAGATTTTTTTCGTATATTTTCATAATATCCCTTTGTCTTTGGAAAGTTTGATCCTTGCTACGGAACGTGCTGCTTCGTGTACCTCCCCTCGAGGACATCAAAAATTTCTCTACAGTCCTTCATATGCTTTACTGGACCCTACAAAAATGGCAGGTAATTTCTTTAATACCGTCACTACAACTTTCACACCATCCCTCACAAGGTCAATGGAGAACGATTTTCCTCGGAGAAGGCAACTTATATCATTGGGCCGTCGGTCTATTAAATCAAATGCTGGACATGCGCAGAAGTTTGAAACAGGCCCCTAAATGAAACAGTAACTGGAGAGCTTAAGCAATGACGACGGCGACCCCGCATACAACGCCTAGTAAAAAATTAATATATATTCTACCTTCGAATTTAGCAATTGTCTAGATCTGTTTACTCGCCTATTGGTCATACTTGCTAAATATGTAACGCCAGCGATTAATTCCAAATGAAAATACGTAAA